CCTGCTGAGTATGCTTTTTTCCCCTTCTGTTTTTTAATTCCACTTTTAAAAAAAATGTTTCCTTTGTTTCTTTTCATTCCTAAGCACTTCCTCTTTTCCTTCCTGCATTACTTTCTAAACAGTAAGTTTTAACAAACATTACATACAAAAAGGTTTGAGATAGTTCTTTTAAGGAGCTGAACAACTAATGTCTTCACTATCCATGTTCTTACCAGCTTTTCTGTGAAACTCACCAGGGTGCTTAAAATTAAGATTCATGAAACACCCTAAATCTTTACCAGTGCGAGACAGAGGATCCTTGTAAGTCCCTCTAACTGAAATACTCTATATCGTTGTATCTTACTTAAGGGGTAGGGAATTCAGGTTTGCAAATACTGAAAGCAAATTATTTCCACAAGCTTCAGGCACCTGGTTTGACCATCCCCCTCTGAATCAGATTGATCCTCCTTTGTCACACACCAAATTACCTGCTTGGTTGAGCTGATTAATTCAATTAAGAACACCTGCATTTCCCTGGAGTTTACTTTGGAAGCAGGAAAACAATTATTTGCCTAGAGAGAAAAAAGGAACTTACCAAAGTAGAAAATCATTAAGACTAAGACATTGACTTGGGTAAATAAGGGCTAAGGCGTTTGAGTGGACACCAGAAGGCAGAGATGAGCTGCATGCCTTAGATAAGGGGAGTAGGAGTCTCTTATTGATGGTGCAGAGGTTCTCCTTGGCTAAGCAGAGTCCAGCTGCAGCAGGACTTGAGGTTACCAACACAGCTAAGCTTCTTTTAGTTAAAAGTTCACTGCGAGGAAGATCTTGAGCCTTCACCCCGAAGGCCCGGCCCACGACCACCAGATGGCACGGAGCGTGTGGAATGAGGTGGAGAAGATTGTAAATGATTTCGAGGAAATAATTAGCATAAGCAATGCTTATTCTGGGAATAAAATTAATATATATCATGGCCACATGAATATTTATTATCTCGATAAGGATGTGATTATTACCCCTTGTCCTATCACTGTCTTCTCTGATGAAAAGCCCCTCCCCAGCTTTCCTGGAGCCCCTTCAGGCACTGGAAGGTGCTCTAAGGTCTCCCTGGAGCCTTCTCTTCTCCAGACTGAACACCCCAACTCTCCCAGCCTGTCTTCATAGCAGGACCCTCTCCAACAGCTCCATGTCTCTCCTGTGCTGGGGGCTCCAGAACTGTACACAGTTCTCCAGGTGGGGCCTCACCAGAGCAGAAGGGCAGAATCCCCTCCATGGCTCTGCTGGCCACACTAATTGTGATGCAGCCCAGGACACAATTGCCCCTCTGGACTCCAGCACTCACTGGCAGCTCATGTCCAGCTTCTCATCTCCTCCCACCCCCAGGTCCTTCTCCTCAGGGCTGCTCTTCAGCCCTTCTCCCCCCAGCCTGGATTGGTGCCTGGGGTTGTGCCGAACCAGGGGCAGGACCCTGCACTTGGCCTTGTTGAACTTCATGAGGTTGGCACTGGCCACCTCTCCAGCCCGTCAAGGTCCCTCTGGATGGATCCCTTCCCTCTGGGGTGCCAACCACACCACACAGTTGGTGTTGTCAGCAAACTTCATGAGGAGACACTCAGTCCCAGTGTCCATGTCTCCAACAAAGATGTTAAACAGCACTGGTCCCAGTACTGACCCTGAGGAACACCATTTGTCACCTGCCTCCATTTGGACACTGAACCATTGACCACAACTCTCTGGGTGTGGCCTTCCAGCCAATCTCTTATCCACCGAGTGCTCCATCTGTCAAATCCACGTCTTGTCAGTTTGGAGACCAGGATGTCACATGGGACAGTGTCAAACACCTTGCACCGATCCATGTAGATGATGTCAGTTGCTCTGCCACCTGTAGCCTTGTTGTAGAAGGCCAGCAGATTGGTCAGGCATGACTTGCCCTTAGTGAGGCCATATTGGCAGTCATCAATCACCTCTTTGTTTTCCATGTGCCGTAGCAGACTTTCCAGGAGGATCTGCTCCATGACCTGGCCAGGCACAGAGGTGAGACTGACCGGCCTGTAGTTCCCTGGGTTTTCCTTTTTCCCCTTTTTAAAAATAGGGCCTATGATCCCTTTTTTCCAATCTGCAGGAACCTGACCAGACTGCCAGGACCTCTCAAATATGATGGACCAGAGGCTTAGCAACTGCATCTGCCAGCTGCTTCAGGACCCGTGGGTGAATCCCATCAGGTCCCATAGATTTAGGCACCTTCAGGTTCTTTAGACTGTCATGAACCTGCTCTACACCTATGGTGGGGGGTACTTCCTTCTCCCAGTCCCTGCTTCATCTTCTGTGGCCATTGTGTTGATGTTGGAGCACTTGCCAGAGAAGACTGAAGCAAAGAACTCATTGAGGACCTCAGCCTTCTCAATATCCTATGTTGGTACCTCACCCGTTTCCTTCAGGAGAGGGCCTACACTCTCCTTGGATGTCCTTTTCTCCCCAACATACCTAAAGAAGCTTTTCTTATTAACATCCCTGGTGAGTTTTAATTCTAGCAGGGATTTGGTTCTCCTAACCTGATCCCTAGCTGCTCAGACTACCTCTCTGTAATCCTTCCAAGATACCTGCCCTAGCTTCCACCCCCTTTTAGCTTCTTTCTTAAGTTTGAGCTTTTCTAGGAGTTGCTTACTCATCCATGATGGCCTCTTGGAGTTTCTACTTGACTTCCTCTTAGTTGAGATGCAATGCTCTTGGGCCTGGAAAAGGTGATCCTTGAATATCAGCCAGCTTTCATGGGCCCCTCTTCCCTCCAGAATGTTATCCCAAGACACTATCTTGAGCAGGTCACTGAAAAGGCTGAAATCTGTCCTGAAGTCAAGGGTAGTAAGTTTCCTGTGAGCCCTCCTTGCTGCCCTAAGGATCTCGAACTCCACCATTTTGTGGCCACTACAACCTAGGCTGCCCTTGAGCTTAACTTCCCTCATCAGCCCTTCATTGTTTGTGAGGACAAGGTCCAGCACAGCACCTCTCCTTGTTGGTGCCTTGATTACTTGGAAAAGGAGGTTATCATCCTTGCACTCCAGGAACCTCCTGGATTGTTTGCATTTAGCAGAGTTGTTCTTCCAACAGATGTCAGAGTGGATGAAGTCTCCCATGAGGACCATGGCTTGTGAATGTGAAGCTGCTCCTATCTGTCTATATAGTGCCTCATCTCTATTATCCTCCTGCTCAGGTGACCTGTAGCAAACCCCCACCATGATGTCACCTTGGCCTTTCTTCCCCTGAATTTTAACCCATAATCTCTCTGTTGGCTCCTCATCAGTCCCCAGGGAGAGCTCCATGCATTCCATCTGGTCTTTGACATAGGGGGCAACACACTCACCCCATCTCCCATCTGTCCTTCCTGAATAGTTTGTAACCCTTCTTCCTCACCAACCACGAGCACAGCTCTTCTCCTTCTCTGCTCAGGTGTTACAGCTGTTCTTCCATGCGTTAATGGCAGAGGTTCATCTATTGTCCCTCTAATGGCTCCCTGGCTGGGTTTGGAGCAGGGGGAGCTTCTTACCAGAGCCAATCCTGTGGCCCTTCCCCAGCTACCAAAAAACCCACCAAACCAAACCAGAACAACATCTAACCAGCTTAAGGTCTAAACTCTTCTGAAAATATCCTACTGGATACAACTGAAAGGTTCAACAGAGATTCTAGACATTTTGGGACCTGGTTTCATGTGCTCCTCCCTTGTAGCCCTGTATTGATCTGTCAGAAACATTCTATGAGATGCAACTCCAATCTGTGTTTACTGGAATGGGGAGAAGCTGGAAAAGCTTGTGTGGGTTGTGGTGTTTGAATACTTCTTGGTTCAAAAGAGGAAGAGGAAAGAACACGTTAAGCTCAAAATAATGAAGTCTCTTCCTGGGGAACACATCTGGCTGGGTGAGAATGCAGAAGCCTAAACTGACCTGGACTAAGTTCTAGGGGAACCTACCACCAGCAAGAATATGTGTCAACCCAGAAGCTTAAACTCTAACTGTTCAACGTATACAAAAAGGTGTATATATTTCTATTAACCTTTTTGGTTTTGGGGACAGTGGCAGGAGAAAGCTCTTGTCCTTTATGTAATGGGAGTACACACACCTGCACACTAAGGTGACCCTTAGTAGCAACCTCTTGCTCCTGCTCTGGGGAGCTGACCCTGTCCTTGCCATGCCTGCTTGTGTCCTGCAAATTCTCAGCACATGGAAGTGAAGGAGAAGAAAGTTTCCTTCCCCAGGTGTTGTGGTACTGGATGCTAAACCAGGGAGCAGAAGCTGTACACCTTGCTGCTGCTGCAGGGAGGAAGGTGTGGGCTGGGACTCTGCAGAGGCCTGGGCTGGAGGGTCTGTGCTGCTCCCTGAGCCCTGCTCCTCTAAGCTCCAGCCAGCAGTGGTATAAACACTACCTGATGGAGCAAGGGCCTTTCTCACTGGGGCTGGTAAAGAACACTTGCACTGGTGCCTTCATCTGGCCTCGTTGGCAGAGCCTGGTGAGAAATGGCATTTTGGGAAGGCAAGGAGAGGGCAGGTACCTGGGACACCTGTGCAGTAACCCCATAGCTGGCAAACAGGGGAAGAGTAATCTGGGTGTCCCAACCAGGCTGAAACACTAACTCATCTCCAAAAAGAATAGGAAAGAGAACTTAGGTTGCAGATGGTTGTTGCTGACACGTTTTCCAGAGTGCTGGAAAGCTTTGAGCAGGCAGAGTTCCAAGAGCCTGAGGTAGGGGAAGAGCTGGCAGGGAGAACTCAGCAAGGAGAAGAGCTGATTAAAAAGCCCAGAGTCCACCAAAAATCCATTTCTTACTCACAGCCAACAGAGTTTTTTGAGCTAGTACATCATCAGCTATGAAAAGCCACTTCATGTCATGTCCCCTCACGGCTCAGACATGTAGGCTGGCTCTGGGGAAGCCACAACAAACACTCCTAAGGCCAGCCTGGCCTATGCTGCCAGGGGCAGTTGGTCCATTTCCACAAGCTTTCATTCCCTGGTATGTTTGATCTGGGTTAATGATAAAACTAAACCTCCTTTCTCAGGCTGACACCTCTGAAAACATAAGGCAAACCTCAGCATTTCAGTTACTTCTGAACCAGCAGCACATGCATCATGAAATCCCACAGAGCACATGAAAGCTTCCCTTTCTATAAAATTCAGTAAACAGGTTTAGGAAGTATTGACACACACAGGAACACACACAAAAAGAACGTACAACAAACACAGTAAATGGTTTCGCAATTATTGAGTTTAATTACTTCAGCATGTGGGTTTTCCTTGCTGTTCAGCCTTCCCCTTGCCATTGCAATCTTTCTTAGGAAACTTGCATAAACTTTTCCCAGACCAGTACATAGACCAGACACAGATGCACAAGTTTTTATTTGCAAGTTTTTTTAAGCCTTTGTTTCTTAACTTTTAAGAGAGAAAGTGTATTAAAAAGCTCAGGCAATCAGATCAAATATCTGATGGTGAGATGTACTCAGATCAGAGGACTCCATAATGGAAGAACATGATAGTAATTCATAACAGGAACTACACTTCAGTCAGGAAGTCAGTTACAGAATATCAGCCTCTCAGAGAACTTTGTTGTCTGCACTGTGCTGTCAAAACAGCACAAGAACACCAGAAAAGCCTAGTTTTTGCTGTTTCACTTTTGGACAAATTGAAGCCTTTGAGAAGAAACTAAAAATAAGCCAGAACCCAAGAAAAAGATGCAATTCACTCATTTCCCTCTCTCCCTTTAGCTCACAGAACCTTGAGACTCTTCAGCCCTTTGTTTCCAGAAGAAAACAAAAGAAAGACTAGAAATGCTGAAAGAAGATGTCCCTGCAAAAGGTGATTCAAAAGATACAAACATGAGGGGTCAAAAGGTTACAGAAGCATGGGAAGAAAACGACACTGTGAAGCCATTACACATGTACACACACTCAGTGGCAAGATATTCCTCTGCAACTCAAAAGATTTGACAATGAAACACCAATTCAATGAAGTAAGGCCAGCATAGGTACGGTGTTACCTAGCAGGTTTCAGAAAATCAAATTACCTTGGATTCTTGAATATGAAAGAACCCCAACTTAATAGTTCAAAAACTTCAGAGAGAACAAAACCTGTAGGTAGCTTGAATTCCTGAAACTGAAAAAACTTCCTAGTAATTGTGCTGGTAGGAAATATCAAGTGATATTATACAAGTGATTTTCTACCTGCCTCCTGGCCTCCTCTGGCACCAAAGCTTCTGCATCCCTACAGCCAACCTCAGGTTTGTGTGGGCTGTGGCACTGATACCAACCTGGGGTCAGCGAAGGAGATAACTTGCTCTCCCACTGACACCAAGGGCTGATGCCTGCATTACAGCTGCTCAAAGAAGTCAGGGAAACATTGTAGAGAAGAAGAGGGGGAAGATTTTTTTTATCAAGCAGACACTAGTTTTTGTAATTTGCTATCAAGGGACTCAGATGTAACAAGTCAATTTAGCTTTAAGATCCCACAAGCAGAAAATGCAGCAAGAAATCCAGTGTCCATATAGGGTCAGATGAGCAAGCAGCTGCTGCAAGCAGAAGAGAAATCTTAATGTCATGTCCTGTGTTGATGCAAGTTACCCCATGACTCCTTTTTCTCTCCCCTCTCATTTTAAGGACAGCTCCTGAACTTTGCTAGACTTGAATCAGCTATGTCTAAAATTTCTGAGGACACATGATCTGTGAGCTAGATGCAAGTTACCCTAGAACTGCCATGCAATGTGCATGAGAAACCAGCATTACGCAGGGTGGCAAGCACTTCCTACCACAACACCTACAATCCGTGGCAATGGATGTGTGTTAGCATGTTAAAAAGGAATATTCCACAGTCAAAATGTAATTTTCCATAGGAAAAATGTTCCCTGTACCTAGCAGCAAATCTAGGAATATGAAAGTGATCTAAGCAGGTGCAAACAATTGTAGCCACAGGTTCATCTATTGTCCCTCTAATGGGTCCCTGGCTGGGTTTGGAGCAGGGGGAGCTTCTTACCAGAGCCAATCCTGTGGCCCTTCCCCAGCTACCAAAAAACCCACCAAACCAAACCAGAACAACATCTAACCAGCTTAAGGTCTAAACTCTTCTGAAAATATCCTACTGGATACAACTGAAAGGTTCAACAGAGATTCTAGACATTTTGGGACCTGGTTTCATGTGCTCCTCCCTTGTAGCCCTGTATTGATCTGTCAGAAACATTCTATGAGATGCAACTCCAATCTGTGTTTACTGGAATGGGGAGAAGCTGGAAAAGCTTGTGTGGGTTGTGGTGTTTGAATACTTCTTGGTTCAAAAGAGGAAGAGGAAAGAACACGTTAAGCTCAAAATAATGAAGTCTCTTCCTGGGGAACACATCTGGCTGGGTGAGAATGCAGAAGCCTAAACTGACCTGGACTAAGTTCTAGGGGAACCTACCACCAGCAAGAATATGTGTCAACCCAGAAGCTTAAACTCTAACTGTTCAACGTATACAAAAAGGTGTATATATTTCTATTAACCTTTTTGGTTTTGGGGACAGTGGCAGGAGAAAGCTCTTGTCCTTTATGTAATGGGAGTACACACACCTGCACACTAAGGTGACCCTTAGTAGCAACCTCTTGCTCCTGCTCTGGGGAGCTGACCCTGTCCTTGCCATGCCTGCTTGTGTCCTGCAAATTCTCAGCACATGGAAGTGAAGGAGAAGAAAGTTTCCTTCCCCAGGTGTTGTGGTACTGGATGCTAAACCAGGGAGCAGAAGCTGTACACCTTGCTGCTGCTGCAGGGAGGAAGGTGTGGGCTGGGACTCTGCAGAGGCCTGGGCTGGAGGGTCTGTGCTGCTCCCTGAGCCCTGCTCCTCTAAGCTCCAGCCAGCAGTGGTATAAACACTACCTGATGGAGCAAGGGCCTTTCTCACTGGGGCTGGTAAAGAACACTTGCACTGGTGCCTTCATCTGGCCTCGTTGGCAGAGCCTGGTGAGAAATGGCATTTTGGGAAGGCAAGGAGAGGGCAGGTACCTGGGACACCTGTGCAGTAACCCCATAGCTGGCAAACAGGGGAAGAGTAATCTGGGTGTCCCAACCAGGCTGAAACACTAACTCATCTCCAAAAAGAATAGGAAAGAGAACTTAGGTTGCAGATGGTTGTTGCTGACACGTTTTCCAGAGTGCTGGAAAGCTTTGAGCAGGCAGAGTTCCAAGAGCCTGAGGTAGGGGAAGAGCTGGCAGGGAGAACTCAGCAAGGAGAAGAGCTGATTAAAAAGCCCAGAGTCCACCAAAAATCCATTTCTTACTCACAGCCAACAGAGTTTTTTGAGCTAGTACATCATCAGCTATGAAAAGCCACTTCATGTCATGTCCCCTCACGGCTCAGACATGTAGGCTGGCTCTGGGGAAGCCACAACAAACACTCCTAAGGCCAGCCTGGCCTATGCTGCCAGGGGCAGTTGGTCCATTTCCACAAGCTTTCATTCCCTGGTATGTTTGATCTGGGTTAATGATAAAACTAAACCTCCTTTCTCAGGCTGACACCTCTGAAAACATAAGGCAAACCTCAGCATTTCAGTTACTTCTGAACCAGCAGCACATGCATCATGAAATCCCACAGAGCACATGAAAGCTTCCCTTTCTATAAAATTCAGTAAACAGGTTTAGGAAGTATTGACACACACAGGAACACACACAAAAAGAACGTACAACAAACACAGTAAATGGTTTCGCAATTATTGAGTTTAATTACTTCAGCATGTGGGTTTTCCTTGCTGTTCAGCCTTCCCCTTGCCATTGCAATCTTTCTTAGGAAACTTGCATAAACTTTTCCCAGACCAGTACATAGACCAGACACAGATGCACAAGTTTTTATTTGCAAGTTTTTTTAAGCCTTTGTTTCTTAACTTTTAAGAGAGAAAGTGTATTAAAAAGCTCAGGCAATCAGATCAAATATCTGATGGTGAGATGTACTCAGATCAGAGGACTCCATAATGGAAGAACATGATAGTAATTCATAACAGGAACTACACTTCAGTCAGGAAGTCAGTTACAGAATATCAGCCTCTCAGAGAACTTTGTTGTCTGCACTGTGCTGTCAAAACAGCACAAGAACACCAGAAAAGCCTAGTTTTTGCTGTTTCACTTTTGGACAAATTGAAGCCTTTGAGAAGAAACTAAAAATAAGCCAGAACCCAAGAAAAAGATGCAATTCACTCATTTCCCTCTCTCCCTTTAGCTCACAGAACCTTGAGACTCTTCAGCCCTTTGTTTCCAGAAGAAAACAAAAGAAAGACTAGAAATGCTGAAAGAAGATGTCCCTGCAAAAGGTGATTCAAAAGATACAAACATGAGGGGTCAAAAGGTTACAGAAGCATGGGAAGAAAACGACACTGTGAAGCCATTACACATGTACACACACTCAGTGGCAAGATATTCCTCTGCAACTCAAAAGATTTGACAATGAAACACCAATTCAATGAAGTAAGGCCAGCATAGGTACGGTGTTACCTAGCAGGTTTCAGAAAATCAAATTACCTTGGATTCTTGAATATGAAAGAACCCCAACTTAATAGTTCAAAAACTTCAGAGAGAACAAAACCTGTAGGTAGCTTGAATTCCTGAAACTGAAAAAACTTCCTAGTAATTGTGCTGGTAGGAAATATCAAGTGATATTATACAAGTGATTTTCTACCTGCCTCCTGGCCTCCTCTGGCACCAAAGCTTCTGCATCCCTACAGCCAACCTCAGGTTTGTGTGGGCTGTGGCACTGATACCAACCTGGGGTCAGCGAAGGAGATAACTTGCTCTCCCACTGACACCAAGGGCTGATGCCTGCATTACAGCTGCTCAAAGAAGTCAGGGAAACATTGTAGAGAAGAAGAGGGGGAAGATTTTTTTTATCAAGCAGACACTAGTTTTTGTAATTTGCTATCAAGGGACTCAGATGTAACAAGTCAATTTAGCTTTAAGATCCCACAAGCAGAAAATGCAGCAAGAAATCCAGTGTCCATATAGGGTCAGATGAGCAAGCAGCTGCTGCAAGCAGAAGAGAAATCTTAATGTCATGTCCTGTGTTGATGCAAGTTACCCCATGACTCCTTTTTCTCTCCCCTCTCATTTTAAGGACAGCTCCTGAACTTTGCTAGACTTGAATCAGCTATGTCTAAAATTTCTGAGGACACATGATCTGTGAGCTAGATGCAAGTTACCCTAGAACTGCCATGCAATGTGCATGAGAAACCAGCATTACGCAGGGTGGCAAGCACTTCCTACCACAACACCTACAATCCGTGGCAATGGATGTGTGTTAGCATGTTAAAAAGGAATATTCCACAGTCAAAATGTAATTTTCCATAGGAAAAATGTTCCCTGTACCTAGCAGCAAATCTAGGAATATGAAAGTGATCTAAGCAGGTGCAAACAATTGTAGCCACAAGCTATCAAAAAAAAAAAAAAGACATCTCAAATTAAAAACAAAATTTAAAAAATGCTTAATTCCAAACAGTAGACAACCCACCTATTGAAACAGGCTCTCAGAAAGAGTAAAACCCATGTTGAAAAAATTAAACTCCACATTACTATCCAGCTAATAAAAAAAATCCAACAAACCAACAACAAATACAACAGCACAAAAAAAACCCAGCTAAACTTTACAAAGAGAATACAAACAGATTTCCTCTTGTAATAAGGATACTGGATAAAAAGGTATGGAATACATTGCAGTATGTTTATGAGGGGGTTGTTCCTTCCCTCCACTCAGTGCCTTCACTCCCACCAGCTCTTGTTTTGAGCTTGTTTTCACCTTTTCCAGATGTGCTCTTTGCCTGTAGAAAGAGAACTTCCTTCTGTGTATAACAACATGGCACCTGGGAAGCAGGTGAGGTGAGAGGTCAAACTTCTTGACCTTCTTGAACTCAAGAAGTTTCTATCTCAGAGGCCTCTTCTATGAAGTTAGCAACAGGACTGAGAAGCAAGAGTGGAAACAGTTTATACTCTCCATTCCCATCTTCTGAGAGTAGAGGTGGATCACCCATTCCCAGTGCATCCAGAGGCTCAGCCTGGCTTGCCGGAGCTGCCAACGGCAAGACAGTTCCACTACCTGACGGAGGGTGAAGAGCAGGTTTCTCGTCCGCAGGGGGCAGCAGAAGGTCTTTGGGATCGTCTGTCTTCCCTGCAGCTTCACTTGAAGGTAGCTCTTCAAACAATGAAAGCAGAGGATTGGCCCTGTACTGTATCAGCTGCATATCTGAGGGAAAACACACAGTTCAAACTCCAGGCTCGTGTGTCACAGAAGTGTAGCCTCTTCAAGACAAGGAAAATTGGAGAGGCTACTTCAAAACCTCTCACTAAAGGAACCCACCCAGCTGAGCTCTGGCAAGACTGCACCCACAGCTCCAGGAAGGGAGCTAAGGCTCCTGCCTCTTTTCTGATTAGGGTCTGGCACCCACCTCAGGCCTCATACACACTCAGCACGCGAGGGCAGCACTGAGGCAGGAAGAGGAGGAGCACTGCATCTTTGGGGCGTTGTGGCCCATAGAAGGAGATACTTCTACAAGGACATTTGCAGTTCTACTCCCTGTGTGACCCTCTGTCACGTGTAAGAAAGGGTGTAAGAAAGGGAAATGGTTAACACCACCATGGGGCATAGGACAGGGCCTCTTAAGATTGAGGCACAGCTTCATCAACATCAGTGAAACAGCCCCAAATCTCTCAGCCTGTCTTCATAGGAGAGGTGCTCCAGCCCTCTGATAACCCTTCTCTGGACTCTCTTCAGGAGCTACATTATCCCTGCTCCTAGATCTGCTGACTGACTTTCAGACCTCTGGGGCCCACCTGAACTCAACAGAATCCTCACTTCTTTGTCAGGCAGCCAGAGGATGAACAGCTCTCATTAAAATTAAAGGACCTCTGCTTCTGCCCTCAGCCTCAACCTCACCAAACCTTGTTCCCCATATATCTGTGTATTACACTGACTGTTTCAGTCAGGCTGCCAGGGAGAGCTCAGCTCTATGCACTGAAGGATCCTTAGTGGGGAAAAAGTCCCTGAGACAGTGAAAGCTCTGGCTCACTGCCTGTCCAGCTCCAGATGCACTGAAGCCCTGTTCCCTACGGAAAAGGGGCGGGAAGTTGCGGGGCCGCCCCGCGGATTCGCCGCTGCTCCCAGGGCCTGGGGTGACTCCTGGAGCCAGGCCCTGGACACCTGGCCCAGGGATGCAGGGCTCCTCTAGGGCTAGGTCGACATGCCAGTCTTCTCAAAAATGTGAAGCCCAAGGAAGGAGATAAAGCCTCAACATGATGCAAAAATTCCATTTCAATACACAGTTTGAGAAGAGTTTGGAGCTCTCAGTGTTCCTTCCTGCTCACCTTTGCTTCCTGCTGTTTCTCTCTCGCTCGCTCCCAGATCTTCAGTGCCCTCTGCCAAGTCTGCCATCTGAAGCAAAAGGGACAGAGATTTAGACAGGATGCTTAACAACAGCAACCCCCACATCTTCACTGGCCAGCACAACCAAAGGTGAAAGGAGGGAAGAGGAATCCAGCAGTTGATCACTGAGCCCTGTTGCACATGAGGGCTGGCACATAGGAGCCCTGTGAGGAAGGCATGCTGACATATACACAAACTCCACTTTTTAAGGCCAAACAAAGCTTCTGACTAGCAAATATTTATTTTACCTTCTAAACCAGAAGCTTTGTTATAGTCTGTCCTGTGTGAATAGCCCCCTTAAAGATTCCTTCATCAATATAATTACATTTTGTAAGCACTGCTTGAACACACCTGCATTACCTCAGTTGTTGTCTAAGCTCTTATGACAGGGAAGTCCTAGTTTAAATATGATTTCAGGACTACAAAATAAATTACACTTTCAAGGTTTTGGTTTTGATTTTTTAAAATATGAGTTAATTTTAGGAACTGGACCAAGAGGTGTAAATTTGCAATGAACTTTTTTATATCCTCTGAGGAAATTCCATATAGACATGTTCAGAATAAATACAGTATATTGCATGATATTTTTCATTTAGTACTTTTCCTTCAGTCTCCAGCCAGACTGAAGGCACACAATCTCCTCTGAACTGTAACCCCAGATCTAGTTATTATTTTGCTCAAAGACATCATGGGAATCCCTGAAGCTTGGAGAAACAAGCCAAGAAATTTTCTCACACCCTTATGACCCAAAAAAGACAAGAAATTCTTGTCTTCTCATTCTGAACAGAAGGTACAGAAGCAATAGATGGGAATAAAAAAATTATTCACTACAGACAGCTGATTCACCAGACACCAATTTGTTTCCCTCTCCCTTATGTTCTCAGGTGTATTCAGAAAGCAAAGAACATGTTACTCAATGCACAGTGCTACTTTAAATCAGCCACTGAGTGTGTTACTGCAGCTAGAAATGTAAGACTTGATATTATCTTGAGAATCCTCTTAAATTCATATATGCCAAGAGTGGTAACTGGAAACATTAAGGCAAAAGGATTAGATAAATTTTCATCCTGTGCTATCAATCTAGTCCCTACCCTCAAACTGCATCTGTCAAAATTTAGCTCTCAACATGGTATTAACTCTCCCCGTCACAAAAGCAAATCTTACTCTTACATTTTCCATACCAGGAGAAGTTTCCATCAAGCTCATATCCAGGGCTGGCAGCTCAGGATTAAGTGTCTGAAAATAAAAAAAAAAGAACACATGTCATATAATAAGGTTCTCAAAATGAAACTTCTGAGAGCTCCTGAAAGGACAGCAGGATCCAGCCCACCTCTCCATGCCATGAAGCACAGGGATGTGGCTCCTCCACAGGCCGACAGCAACATACTTACAACCTGTGGCAGTAAACAGAGGTCACAGGAGAAGAAAAGGACAGTGATCCCAGGTGTATGGCTGAGTTTCATTCCATAATTAAACATACTCATGATGTGATGATATGGGACAAAGGCTTGAGAAGTGAGACAATTTTTTTCCCTTTTCTTTTCCCCTTGAGTTACGTATAACAAAAATACTACATGATCTGAAAAGGGTTGTGTAGCATTCTGTCCATTACTATCTGCTTTTCAGGATTTTTCCCCCTTTTGCCTATTCCAACATAGAATAAACCAGTCAAATTTAATGGTGCAACCTAATGGGTACTGTTTAGGAATCAGAAAAAGTGAAAAGAAACTCACATCGCTGAAGGCTTCGGAACCAAAGTTATACTGCTTCCCAGATAACATTGCTTGAAGCTCTTCAAGGCTGGCATCAATGCAATTAAGAAAATCCTGAATTTCTTCTCTAAAAAGACAAAATGATACAGTACTGTAAGGAACAGTGGGGCACTTAGGGCCTTCTTTGGCACCAGAAGCCAGGTGGTCACAACTCAGAACCACTCATTGACCAATGGATGAAGCTACATTCCTGTCTCACTGCTCACAGCCCAACTCTGCAGGACAGGGGCAAGGAAGACTGAACAGCAATACAGGAGTAGCCATCATGACATAAAGCAGATTCTCCTTCCACACCTACTTCCTTCTTAATTTTAATACTTTTGAATATTATCAGATCCCAGCCTACATACCAGTATCTGTTTAAACTAAGGTCCGATGGCCTTCACTTATAAGTGATCAGCAAATGGCTGGGAATAACGTGGAACTGAAGGAAGGCTGCCTACTGGGAAACATCAGGTTGTGCCACATTGTCTGATCTAACAAGCACAAGTGAAACAAAACAACATCAGGCTACCACAGGTACAGGCCAAGACCCAGTTCTCAAACAGAGCAGCACATGGAGCCCTCCTGAGCCCCAGCCTTCAGCTGGTGCTTGGTGGCACTTGGCAGCACCAGCAGCTGCCATGCCAGGGCTGATGTACCAGACTGACCTCACCAGCCCTCAAACTGACATCAGAAGTCAGGCTCGTTCATCATTAAGAGATGTGACAGATGAACTGGCCCTGCTTCTAGGGTATGATGGGGTTTTTTTTGTTTTTCAAGACCCACCAACAATGGGGCAGAAAACTCACTTCAAAGACATTTAAAATGCTAATTCACTACGTTATGCGACACACATCCTCTAAACCTTTGACAAGATCCCACAAGATGATGACAGCTTAACGGTTTCCAGAACCATGTTAATACCTGTCCAGTAATGGATCACTTTGGTTTCCAGAGTTGTTCTCATTCAAGATGGAGTCAATCACTGACACGGGGTCTTCTGGGGAACTCTGCTGTGTGGAATGGAGTTCCACTGCAGCATTTCCCCTGTCACTGGATTTGCTGACTTCATTTACATGAACTGATGGGATAGGTTCTGCACAATTTAACTCATTTGGCTGCAAGACTTGACAGATAGGTAAGCCAGGATCCAGAGCTGCCTGTGTCTCTCTAAAATGAGACCCAAAGAGAAACAACACACAGTTTAGCATCTCAAACCTTAATACCTAATAAGGTCAAGCCATTCAAGGGTTCAAATAACTAACTGGTCTTTAGAAAAAGATGGAAAGTCCCTTCCAAAAGGCAGGTGAAAAATCTCTTACAGCTTACCAAAGGCAGCATAATAGTACATTAGGGAGGAGGGAAACTCCTATCAGTGTCTCAGGAAACAGAAGATTCCAAATTTGTCCATGTTTCTCTCTGGGTGTTAACAATTAAACTGGTTTTCCTAAGAATCTGAAGTCCCACAAAAAAAAAGAATGCCTCCCCTTCAGTGACTCTCAGCATAATATTAGGGAGTATAGCACTAAAACTGAAGATAAAACTACATATTTTGGTTTGTTTATTAGTAAACTATGTATGCATTCAGGTCCTTGTTCAGTCAAAAAAATTAAGTATGTGCCTGTTTGTTAAACAGACAGAAAAGCCTCAGCAAACCAAACATCTAGTGCCAAGTAGCTCAACAGGCCTTCAGGCACTCTTGAGGAGACATGAGCTCTTAAAAAACTTTGCTGACCATGACATGCTGTAAAACTGTCAGCCTGCAGAATAAAAATTCAGAGAGGCCGGTTCCTAGAATTCCATGGATCACTTACACTAACACAACTACGTAGGTAACCTAGGAGTAAATCCTTCCACACCCTTCAGGGGTACCTGGTTCTGCCACTGGTGTGTGCCACAGCAAGGAGGCTATCGGGGGCATTTTCCAGGGTGTCTGTGATATCCCGAATTATGAGACCTGTTCCATTTCCATCCTCATCATCTGCATCATGTTCAGAAAAAGCCACCTGCAGGATACAGCAAACAGAACGAGTCAAGCAAAAGGTCTTATTTATGGATGCTGAAGCTCCATTCCTCTTGCAGCTCCTGGTTCCTGTTCAGATTTAATCTCTGACTAGTCCCACCAGTCTGCATGATGTTACACAGAGCAATGCTTTGAAGCTGCCCATTCCAAACCCAACTGCACTTCTGTGTAAGATCAGGGTATTAACAGTTGTAAGAAAGGCTTTGAGATCACTGTGTCTCATCCTGTCCAGCCCCATGCTTCTTTCCCTGGACAGACTTACAGCTTGGCTGCTCTCCACCGGGATGCGAACGTACTGACGACTGTACTTGGACGGGGAGGCACCCGCGGCGTCCGTCAGAGACCTGGGGCAAAGCAGGGCTTTAGTACGGGACTGTGCAGCAAGAAACTGCCTTTTGGAAATGTTTTTTATGAAGTGTACTGCAGGCAGGCTGCCTTCTAAACGTGCTTTTAATCTTGAGTAAGTCACATTTGCCTGCTTCACAAGCTACCATTCCTGGGAACAGTGCTCTTCCAAATTTAGGTATTCTCTACCCACCTCTTTTTCTTTAGCAGAGAGGAAACCTTTATTTCATGCTTTATTCAATTTCCATTAACTTTCTCAAATTTGAACAAAAATACAAGTGATCAATGGCTTCTTTAGACACTTTAAGAAAATTATCTCGCTTCCAGAAGCTGATTTATCATCTGACACTGATTTGTGACCTATCCAGTAATTACCTTTTTCTTTTGACCCCAACAATATAATTTCCTCGCATCAAACTTAGTATAAATTGAAGAATCTAAAAGTGAAAAAAAAAACAAACAAAACCAAGTGGTCAGCATAGCAATCCTAACATTGAATTATTAATTTAGAAGTAATAACAAAATTAAGGAGTTATGTCATTGAAATTGATAGGTAAATCGAAAATCCATTTGTGTTTGTCTTAAAACCCAAAATGTAAGTTACAAACAGCATTGAAAAATGATCCCACTTCCCACTTGTCCAACTTCCCCAGTTGTTTTTTTGTCTCAGTTTTTTTTTTTTAAATGTAATATAACACCACAAGTCACTCGAGGATTCCAGACCAGAAACAGCTGAGGGATAAATCAGAGGAAATCAGTTCCAGTGCAGAAGCTCCTACAGTTTCTGGGTTCCAAGTTGACTTCTTGAGTGATCTAAGTCCAAGATCTTTCACAGACTCCATTCCATGTCCCTACCATGCATTTTTAGGCTCCTGCTACCATGCACTGCCTCCAGCCCCACATTCACCCCAAGTCACCTGGATTTACTGATTTCTCCCCATGTAAGATTGACTGAGATTTCAAACAGATTTAAATCCTTTTCACTACAACTTTTCCTTAGTACTCTGCTCATGATTCTTTGCTGAGCTACCTCTGGGACACTCAGGAACTGTGAACACTTTCTGTATGCTGTATGAATACAGCCTGTTCAGCTCTTTGTCATTTGTCATTCTACATAAGCAAAGAATGCCATCAGGTGTCACAGAGGCAGGAATAAGGATGGTAGCACTGAAGATGCTGCAATGGTACCTTAGACAGCAGCTTCTGTTGTTGACTGTGCTTCTGCCTTAGAACTGCCACTTCTTTCCACAGGGCCTTATTTTCTCTGCAATGCAGAATAAATCAGAAGACAGAGGATGAACAGAGTTTACTTTAAATGCTTTAGTTTTACAGCTTTCAAACTTTCACAGTACCTTGCAGGACCAATGGCAACATTCCTTCCCTGGATAACTAATGATCAGTTAATCTGATCCACTAGTATGAACTCTGGGTTAAATTAACTCCATTTTCCATCATGCAGGACCAAACACTCACTAATAAGGACATTCTCATCCTTTGCTGCTCCACCAATGATCTCAATGTGAAGTATTCTTGCAAAGCCTCAAAGGCTTAGAATGAAGACTTGGTGTTTGGAAACAGGCTGAGTGTAACACAGACCACCTCAGAACAGTAAAAAGTTTGTGTCTGCGTGTTTTGGTTTGTTTTTTTTTAAGGAACAGAGGGAGTGGAGCCAAGATATCTCCTGAACTTTGGCTGATACCTGCTTGCATACCAATGATCTGAACTAATTACCAGCGCCTCTACAAAAGGAACCTGAGGGAACAGAGATAAGGATATACAAAGTCCACTTCCAATTAGAAAGAAAACCAAACACTAATTCTCTCTCCCTCACTCCCTCTCTCCTAACCCTGTTTTATGTTTAGAAAAGGAAACACTTTGATCTCCCTAAAACTACTACAGCTGATGGCAACCAAAATGAAATCTCAAGACAGTCAACAAACTCCCACTCTTAATTTCTGGTCTGTTACCAAATTATGAGAACAAGGAAAATTCAGAATGCTGGGGGGGGGGAATGGGGTTTCTTAGAAAATAATACAGCTTCACCTGTTTCCAGTTCTAATGAAGCCCACATGGAGAGTCAAGCTCCATTAGATACAAGCAACAGTCAGTGTGTAAGTGCCTCTGAAACAGACAGAGACTACCTCTTCATGTTCGCCAGTCTGACATCCATGTTGTTCTGCTGTTCTCTCATCTCCTGGACTTCAGAGAGTACTTTGTGCAAATCCTCCGTACAGACCTTGAGATCCTCAGTTCTTACTGCAGAGACCTAAAATAGGACCAGGTTACACATGCTTTACTACCAACAGTGCCTTCCATACAGCCTTCTACAGAAGCTGTGATGTTAGTCTGCAGAACAGGTACAAACTGCATTAGAAGATCAGGTTATGCTAAATCTTATGTATTGCAAAACACCACAAATGCTACTGGTGACAGTCCTTAGGACGGTGCCAACTGTATGAAAAAAGCAAGATGTCAGTGAAAACACGCAATTCGCATTTGGCACATGCAGCCCGACTGAAAATGGTCTTCCCTAGGGGCTCTCCCTGGCAGCTCTGGTAAAGCTTGCCCTCTACTGTCAAAGAGTGAGACACCAGCCAAAACCAAACCACGACAGTGGCTTAAGAGCAAGGTGATCATATTCCTTTTGGGAGTGGGTAAATCAGACAGCACAAGAGTAACCAATTCCCAGTAAGTGACAGGGGTGAGAGGGTAGACGCACTCTACTCAATTTGAAGTTTGTCCCACACAACCTGAACTGCTTCCTATACTATTGCTTCCTCCTCTACCTCTCCTATCAGTGACATTCCAAAATTATGGAGACTTGTCGCAAGAAAGTCAGAGTTCAAACTACTATTCTGTCCATGAATGCCACCTCTTCAAATGATGGTGAAAGAGTAATCAGAAAGCAAAAAGCTCACTCCCTCCTCCCTGCACTTCCACATTCAAACGTTCCAGTTCCTCCAGCAGCTCTCTCTGTAGTGATGGCACTGATAGCTAACACACAACTCAGGGTTTTGACAAAGAGAGGTCTGGTTCATCACACATCTGTATCACATGTCCAGGTTTTGTGGGCGTAACATTAAACATCATCTGGCCAAGTACTGACCAGAACTGAGCCAAGTGCAGTTGCACCAGAGAGCCATCAGCTTTCCCTTCCAATATACAGCATGCTATGGTTTCCTCTTACTATCCCACTGGATTGCAAGAGGCAGGTAAAAACGTCTGGGAATACCCCCTGAAGTGCCAGATAACCTCCATGCAGGCTGACTCACAGATCCCTTTTTTTCAAAGGGGTATGAGATGGTCAGAAATGGACCTATGGTGCTATCAAAAAACATCTCATCACTTCATGATGAAACAAAAGACAATTTTTATGTAATCACAGAACAAATAACCACACTCTTAACATAACCCATATGTGTTACAAAAGATGGGCTGAATGGCCTGTGTCTGCATTTTTAGATGCTTTGCAGACAATACCTTACGCTAAGGTACATGGGCTCCCCAATGGTATCCCCAATTAAATCTACAGCTGTCTGATTTCTCTTCAGCACAGCACCACTCAGTGGGGAAAACATTCTGCCCAAGTGCAAGGAATTGATCTCCTGTCTCTAACTAAGTGAGAATATCAGACTGGAGCAGACCAGAAGAGCTAACATTACAAAGGAAGAGATAGAGGAAGCTCTGTATTCAAACTTGCATTCCTGTTGGAGACTTGAAATCCAGTTTACAGTAAGTCCAGCAATACAGCTCCATTCCAGGCAGTAAAAGAGACAGAAAATCTAATCAACACTGTGCAAAAAACCACTAATATTTTATGTGCAAGAAGTACAATTTTTGCCAACCCATTCAGTAGTTTCCCATGAATGTCTTTGGCACTAATAAGAGCTTTTGTCTTTCCATCTAGAATGCTCCACCCAGTGCAACACCCCTGGGATGCAGGGTGCCACAGGTGAGCAAGCCAAGGCAAGTCAGTGATTGCAGCACCTGGGAAGGGCAGAGGCCTGAGCCCGAGAGGCAGCTGTACAACTGTATTTTTTACAAGGGCTTGCAGTAAGAGGACAAGGACTAACAGTTTTAAACTGAAAGAAGAGAGATTTAGGTTAGAGATCAGGAGGAAAATCTTCACTATGAGGGTGGTAAAACACTGGAACAGGTTGCCCAGAAAAGCTGTGGCTGTCCCATCCCTGGAAGTGTTGAAGGGCAGGTTGGATGGGGCTTGGAGCAGCCTGGGCTGGTGGGAGGTGTCCCTGCCCATGCAAGGTGGTTGGATCTAGATGATCTTTAAGGTCCCTTCCAACTCAAACCATTCCATGATTCTATGATTCTACAATTTAATCAATTGTGAGTCTGAGCAGAGACACTCAGCAAAGAATCAATCAAAACACAATTGTGACTCTCAAGCCTGCCCTGAGCTTTTATTAACTTGGGCAATGCAGATACCACATTATGATGTTCTAAAGATTCCGCAGTTCAAATGTCAACATGATGTATCATGATAGTCTCTTTCTCTGGCAGGCAGGATATTATGGGCTGCAATGTGCCAACAGAGGATAAATATCTGCAGAAAGAAGTCAGACAAGGCCCGAGTGTACAGAAGAAAACTGGAAAGAGCTAATGAAGATGTAGCTTACTGTGGCAATGTGGTTTTGGAGGAACAGCGTACCTTATGCAAACTTGCCCAATGAACTAATGAGCTTGTTAACTTTCAAGGAGCACCAAACGGAAATCTTTTTTTTTTTTTTTTTTACTTCTTTCACTTTGTGACACTTTCCCACCCTGCTGGCAGAATGGCAGACCACTGCAAGCTGTAATTGTGTGTACTCCCGATGGAAAAGGGGCCCTAGAAGCTGTGAAGACTGTGGCCCCACCCCAGTGCATTGCCAAAGGAGAGCAGGGTGTGTTGTGTCTAATAGCTGGCACGAGGAGGGCAAGCCCAGCCCTGGCCTGGCAGGCAGGAGAGAGTCACAAAGGCTCCTGATGCATAGCCATGGTTCACACGGAATTTATTGGCTGTAAACTGTTTGAAACCTCCAGACTTGCTCTTCATGAGCTACTTTTCTTAACAAAGTGAAGTAAATACATGATTAGACTGTACCTTGCGCTTGATGTTTTCCAGTAAATGTGCCTTTCCTTGCTTGAAGAAGGGGTGCTGGAACTCAATGACTGAGCTCTTCTCTACTGTCATCATACCATTCTCCAGAGCAATCACCTTCCTGAAACCATCTGGAGAGAGGAGTTGACAAAGTAATTTCTTCCAGTGCAAAACTGACTGTTACAACACACAGTTAAAGGCTACTGAAATACCTACAGCACTACAGCTGCTGGGAGCAGAAGTTACGAAGAGCAGCCAAAGCAGCTTTTATTTGGTTCTCAATGGCTTAACTGCTCTGATATTCACACCTAGAACACAGGCCCATGATCCCATCAGATGACCTTGCAAGGCTGTACAAATAGCACCCATGGCAGAGGCCAGCTAGTGTCCACAGGCAAGGCAGTGATGTCCAAACAACCACAGAAATTAGTTAGGAGCGGGATTTATTAGGATATCTTGAATAACATCTTATCCCAGTGGAAGCAGCAGAATGCTGCACCTTTGTGCCCATAACCCCAGACAGATACACATCAAACCAAACACTGTCCTGTGCCACCAGCCTCTACAGAACAAAGTAAGGAAAATAGATCAATCTTCAGCCTGTGTCAACACATGGAGTACATTCTCCATACCAGACTTCCCCTATGAAATAAGCCATTGCCAGCTGTGTATTACTGCTTCAAGTACTACGGGGTAGATGCAAAATACAACATAGGTAATGTATTTCAGTTCCACTGCACCCTAGCAGCACCATCATTAGCAAGCTTTACTGGGAGCTAGAATAGGCCCAGCAGGAAAAAGAGGCAGCCACCACACTCAGTGTCTTCAGAGGAACATCTGCATCTCAGCATCTACCCTTGCTACAAGCAACTGACACCAACAGCAGCATCCATCCCTGTCAAGAGGATAAACTTACACTTCCTCTCACCTCTGATACATCTCACCAGGCATCAGCTAGAGGGACCAGGCAAACCTACTGGGAAAGGAAAGAGCTCCTCACCTTGAGTCCCAAAGGATGTTCTAAACCAAGCAGCCACAAGTTTGTACTCAGCCCACAAGTGATGCACAAGTACATTGTACTACACCTCTGAATCTCCACCTTCCTCCAGCCCCTCTGCCTGCACCAGTTGCATGGGTGTTATACAGTAGATGCTACATGATGCCCACGAGTTGAGCCCAGAAAACATAACGAACTCAGTCCAGCTCAATCTATCCCTGTGACTGACCTTGTTTCAACACAGCAGTGCAGGCAACAGCATGACCTAGGCAAGCTTCTTCAGGGGCTAGATGTGCACTATGGCCTCTGCTCCTCTGGCTCTGCATAAGCTGCAGTTACCACTATCACCACCACCTCTGGAGTCCAGGGAACTCTACCCAGGCTTTAGGTACCGGCACATGTAACAACATTTTTACAGTAGTTGCTTGTAAGAGATGAAACAGAAAAAATCAAGACTAAGCCCAGCTCTACTGTCATCCTTCTCCTATGCAACACAAACTCAAGACTAGAGTTCAGGTTTTCAGGGAGGAAAGACCTGCCAAGTCAATTGGTTTGTTTAAAGAACTTTAACTTGGTGCTAATGAACTTCGTAGAAGGAACAGTTAGGAACAGCTGATGCTTACACATGTTAAGCTGTCGTATGAAGCTGGAGATGTTGTTGTGTTTGAAATACTTGGGGAGCAGCTCCTTGGCAAACCTCTGCTCATCCAGAATGCAGAAGTTCTCACCATTCTAGGAAACAAGCAAAAGTAACAGTTACAGAGCAACAGCTTTTCTCAGGTGTTGCACATAAATCAGGACCATCAACCAACAGAAACAGCTCCTACAACAGGGAAGGTAAAACACTTGGTGAAATAATTGTCCCAGTGCTTGGGAAGGTTTGAATCCAAAAATGCCGTTACATGGAACACTCCTGTGGAGGGGGGTGGGATTTAAAGGCCTCAAGTTTAGATCTTAATCTGAAGAAAAATCGTTCTCAGCCCGCAGGGCCCTGCAGGAAACACCAGCCCTGCCGGAGCAGCCGGGCCGGTGCCACTAGAGGGCTTCGGTCCCGCGGCCGGAGCTGCGGCTCCTGACGAGCTCCTTCCACTATGTCACC